ACTTGAGGACACGGGGAGGGCGAAGGGTAAGCTGGGACAAAGTGAGAGAGCGGCATGGACATATATACACTACCAAATGTAAAATAGATAGCTAGCGGGAAGCAGCCCCATAGCACAGGGAGATCAGCTCGGTGCTTTGTGACCACCTAGAGGGGTGGGATAGGGAGGATGGGAGGGAGACACAAGAGGGAGGAGGTATGGGGATATATGGATACATATAGCTGATTCACTTTGTTATACAGCAGAAACGAACACACCATTATAAAGCAATTATACTCCAGTAAAAATGTTAAAAAAAAAAAAAAAGAAAAAAGATTACAGAATGGCCAAGTGACTGATGAATGAAATAATCCAGTTTGATAGCTAATATGTATTGTGTTTATGAAGGCAGGAAAGAAAACAGTATTATGGCATTCCTGTTGCTTTTTTCCCCTTCTGTTGCCAAGCAGAGTTTGAATAGGGCTTGTTGGAGCCACGAACCAACTCTTCCAATGCTACCAGACATGTACACACACATGTACACTGTTCTGTACACTTCTGAAGAGGAAATAGCATCTTTTTACGGGTGTATGTGTTTTCCATTTTAAAAAAAAATTTAGGTGAATGACAAGATATCCATATCCATCACAGAGAAATTACAGAATACAAATAAGCGTTGAAGTAAACAGTCACCCACACCCCGTCCCAGGCATCAGGCACTGTTAACACTCTCTCATCTCTTCCCACGTGCCAGGCTCTCTCTCGAAGTAGCAGTAGCGCCCACCGGAGTTGACTTCGTATTTGTGGCGTGGGAGTCAAAGCTAAGAGCAAGTGGAGTGAGGTACTCAACCATTGCTATGTTAGGACGCCCCAGGCAACAGGGAGTGAGCTGGCCTGGGGACCAAGTGGGATCTGTAGCAGAAACTCTGTTCCCAAGTCAGCTGCCTCCCGCATCCTTGGCCAGCTGGCCTGAGACGGTGATCAACCGAGTTGGAACTTAGGAGGAGCTGCTTCTTTCTGCTTGGCCTTGGGTCCTGATTAATTGGGGGCGGGAAGAGGAGAAGGGGTGAAAACAAGAGTGTGGCAAAAACTTTACAGCTGTGGTTTTGCCCTCCAGAGGACACTGGCGATGTCTGGAGTTACTCGTAGTTGTCACAGCTAGGGGGCTGGCACTCCTCGTTTGTAGAGAGTAGAGACCAGAGATGTGCTAAACACCCTACAGTGCGCAGCACAGCCTCCCACAGCAAAGAAGTATCTGGCTTCAAATGTCCATAGGGCTGAGGTTGAGAAACCTGCTTTTTAAAAAAAGGCAAGAAAACACTTGACAATGATGCTATTGCATACAAGAGCAAGGACTATAAAAATATTTATTGAATCATGTCTCACTTGCCCATTGAGATGTCAGTTTGAAAAGTCTTCTCGGTGAGTCTGGAGTCTGTCGGGTAGATTACAAATGCTAAAGGGTTTGGGGGGTTTTTTTAAGCATCTTTATTGGAGTATAATTGCTTTACAATGGTGTGTTAGTTTCTGCTGTATAACAAAGTGAATCAGCTATACGTATACATATATCCCCATATCTCCTCCCTCTTGCGTCTCCCTCCCACCTTCCCTCTCCCACCTCTCTAGGTGGACACAAAGCACCGAGCTGATCTCCCTGTGCTATGTGGCTGCTTCCCACTAGCTGTCTATTTTACATTTGGTAGTGTATATATGTCCATGCCATTCTCTCACTTTGTCCCAGCTTACCCTTCCCCCTCCCCATATCCTCAAGTCCATTCTCTACGTCTGCGTCTTTATTCCTGTCCTGCCCCTAGGTTCTTCAGAACTTTTTTTTTTTAGATTCCATATATATGTGTTAGCATGTGGTATTTGTTTTTCTCTTTCTGACTTACTTCACTCAGTGATCAGTGTTATGCATAGTTGAAAAGTCAAGAGTTGTCATAAGGAAGAGCAGAAAGCACTTCATGGAAAGTCATATTTGAAATTATCCCAAGTAGCTTTTAAAAACAGGTTTCATTAAATCCGGTGGCACAAATAGCCAGGTGGGTTTTTGGGGGTTTTTTAATTAATTTATTAATGTATTTATTTTTGGCTGCATTGGATCTTCGTTGCTGCACGCGGGCTTTCTCTAGTTGCGGAGAGCGGGGGCCACTCTTCCTTGCGGTGTGCGGGCATCTCATTGCGGTGGCTTGTCTCGTTGTGGAGCACAGGCTGTAGGCGTTCAGGCTTAAGTAGTTGTGGCATGTGGGCTCAGTAGTTGTGGCTCGTGGGCTCTAGAGCGCAGGCTCAGTAGTTGTGGCGCACGGGCTTAGTTGCTCCGCGGCATGTGAGATCTTCCCGGACCAGGGCTCGAACCCGTGTTCCCTGCATTGGTAGGCAGATTCTTAACTGCTGCGCCACCAGGGAGCCAGGTGGTTTTTAATCCAGGGGCAAAGCTGGGGGAAAGGGCGCTTGGGGGATATAAATAATGGAGCTTCTTTCTAGCTTTGCTCTTTTTATGTTGTTGAGATTTTTATTTTTTTAACAAAATGAATCTCTTTCTAGTATCCCTTTGTGTTTGTCTTCAGGCCTTGGAATGACTTGCAAGGTTCAGAGACATCATTATGTACCTGTGACACTGACCCCACTGTTTATTTTCCAAATCCTAAGTAGTTTGAGGGGACACAAACAGGGCACTGTGCGTGGTGACTGCACCTATGGGTGATCTAAGGGAAGGTCAGGATGGCTGTCAGGTCCCCAAATCCCTAAGTGGACAGGGGGTGTCGTCAGTCCTCAGGAAAGAATCAGGGACTAGAAATAAAGGCAGAGAAGACAGGCATGTAACTTGGAAAGCTTTATAGTCTTCTTTTTTTTTTTATCATGATTGAATCAATGGACTTGGTTTTTCTGAGCTTCACAGACATGCAGAGAAAAAAGAAAAAAACAGCTTGGCAGGAATACAGGGAGGGGGAAAGGATCTAAATTAAATATAACAGTTGCCTGAAGTTTAGTTGCTGACAAAAAACAAGTCGTTTTCTCTGAGAAGCATGTGTAATATGTCAGGAAGAAAAAAAGCACAATTCTTACATGAGATCTTATGGATAGCACCACATTAATTTTAATCATTTAATTTAAAGTACTCCACTGTCTTCTTTATTGCAAATCAATAAAGTACGCATGTACTTGACTTTCACCTGTCTCATACTTGGCAAGGAGAGCGTAGCTTTCTCTGACTACCCAGCTTACAGCAATGAGATTTCCCCTGTCATATCTCCTAACTGTCCCAAGATCAGCACCTGCTTTATGTTGCCTTTTATAGTTAGTTATATCTGTCTATCTATCCATCCATCCGTCACAAATTACCACAAACTTCGTAGCTTAAAACTACAGAAATGGGGGCCAGGAGTCTGAAATCTGAAGGTTCTAGGGGAGAATCTTTCCTTACTCCCTCCAGTTTCTGGTGACACCAGGCAATCCTTAGCTTGTGGCAGCAAAACTCCAGTCTCTCTTAGTCCGTTCCGGCTGCTGTAACAGAACATCACAGACTGGGTAGCTTGTAAACAACAGAGAGGTATTTCTCACAGCTCTGGCATCTGGAAGTCGAGGGTCAGGGTGCCAGCACGGTCAGGTGAGAGCCCTCTTCCTGGTTCATTGTCAGGCATCTCTGCACTGAGTCCTCACATGCAGGAAGGGGTGAGGGAGCTGTCCGGGGTCTTCTCTATAAGGGCATTAACCCCCATCCTTGAGGACTCCTCCCTCATGACCTAATCACCTCCCAAAGGCCCCACTTCCAAATATCGTCACATTGGTGATTAGGTTTCAGCATATTAATTTGGAGGGGAGACACAGACAGTCAGTCTTACAGCACTGTCTCTGTCCTCACATGGCCTTTTCCACTGTGTCTGTGTCTTGTCCTCTTCTGTCTATTATATGGACACTTGTCATTGGATTTAGGGCCCACCTGGATAATCCAGGATCATCTTATCTTGAGATCCTTAATCACATCTACAAATACCTTTTTTCCATATAAGGTCACATTCACAAGTTCCTGGGGTTATGACATAGTCATATCGTTTTGGGGGGGCCACGATTCAACCCACTGCCCTATCTATCTGTCTGTCTTGTCTATCTATCAGATCCTTTTTGGTTTCTGTGTTTTCCAGAATGCTGAGGACACAGTAATAACTAATAAATGCTTACCAATTTGAAAGTGTGGCCTTATTTTAAAGTGACCCAAATTAATGCGCTAATTGTCCTACCTTGTTTCCAAGATGTTCTCTCATTAGCTCTATGGAACGTATGAACATAAAGACACTCCAGCCTTGCAAAGTAAATGTATGTTTCAAACTAAAGACCAAATGTTCAATGGCCACACCTAAAGCCAGAGCAGTCAGTAAGTTGAACTGTTATTATAACTTGTAAGATCGCTGTTTTTCTAAGTGTTAATCCTTGCGCTGCAATTAACATCCTAGGTGGTCTTGAGGATTACTAGCTCCCAGCAAGGTGTAAACGTCTCAGTTGAATCAACCCTATTTATCCTTTATTAATTTAGGTGCCCTAGAAGAGAAAGCAAAAACATTGATCAGAGCTTTCAAAATAGAGGGAGAAAATCACAGTATGAATATGCTTGCTCTTAACTGATTCACTGAAATTGAGTACATTATAAAACAAGGACAGATATTCGCTGTGTCCTCTGTAAGTCCTGGAAGCATCATGGCAGAGAGGAAGGAGTGTGTGGGAGTGACTGGGAGACTTTGGTCAAGAAACCTGGTTCTAGATCTGTAGCAGCAGGCCTGGTTCTGTTGCCATTTGTGTGGCCTTGGGCAAGTCCCCTGATTTCTCTGAGCTTCAGGTTCCTTCCTTTTCTGGAAACCAGATAGATTAAAGTAGAAGTTTTTCAAACTGTGTTCCAGTGTGCCACGGCGCTGTCTTCTAAACTGCTCCCTGACTCAAGCCTCGTAGCTCTCTCTGTGATTAGAAACTGGGTTTGGTTCAGAATTAAGAAACTCTGGCGTTTTTGTTCTTCATTCACCTGTTTGCAGCGGAAAGCTACAAGGACACTCAGATGGTGAAGATCAAAGAGGAACCCATGGAGGTGGACATCCAGGACTCGCAGGCCTCAATATCACCCAGCCGCAGTGTTGGCTATAGCACTTTAATTGGGCGAGAGAAAACTGAACCCTTACAGAAGATGCCAGAAAGTAGAGTGCCCCCAGAGAGAAACCTCTTCAGTCAGGACATCTCTGTGAAGATGGCTTCCGAGCTTCTTTTTCAACTGTCAGGTACGTTTCCTCGAGGAAAAAAAAAAAAAGTCAATAATGGGGACTAATTGGAGGGAAAGCCACTCTAACGAAGTAAAAACACCAGCATTATAGGATTTTTTAGACAGAAATCCATTTTGTTACTTTAACGTGTATACGACCTCTCAAACGAAGAGTTCATCAAAGGCTGCCTGGTAGGACTCCTGCCAAACTTTCTTTAGTAAATAGTTAAGAACCATTTGAAATTGGAACCTATGCAACTCCGTGCAAATGATCCCTGTTGCCTGGACTAAAAGTCTCACCTCTAATTTTGTTTAGGCAGTTGATCTGATTAACAGCCTTTCTTTTGTTTTCCTAATGTGCAAAAGATAAACTTCAATTTACTCCAACAGTGACTGAGTTACTGTGAATTCCAAATTAGTGTGGTCGGAATTAATGAGATTTTTACGGTAGCTTGCCAAAAAAAAAAAATCAAGGAAAGGGGAAGGCAAAAGATGAAACTGTGAGGACTCTTTTCCAGCTATAACATAGTAGAACATTTCCTGTAAACCAACTTTTTCTACTTCAAATACTCAGAAGTCAAAGTTTAGGAATCAGCTAAGTGATCACCTATTAAAAAGCTAAGGAATCACCGATTCTAGCTCAGCTAAGTGTCTTGATAGAATAGGTGAGGGTTCTAGAACCTAAGTTGTTCTCTTTATCACCTCATTCAAGCTGCAGGCTCTTTGTCAAATTTAATGTGCCGTTACTGCTTGAATGTGATTGAGATGGATGAAAGAGACTCATATAAGATTCAGACTTATATAGAAATACAGATACTTTGTCCTTGGTCAAGCATTGGCCTACATACTGAAATTCAGGCATCAGTAGAGTTTGTTACTAATATTTGATAAACTCTGTTTTGTTATGGCTAACAGATTTAAAACACCCATTAAATGCTTCATTATTTAAGTATTGACTTTTCTCCCCTAAGAAAAATACCAGAAAAGAGGAAAGAAGCTAGAATCTTCAAGGCATCGTGATAGCTCACCTTCTCATTGGCCTCATGACACGCCCCCATAGCTGTAAAGTTATCAGTCAGTGCCGAAAATGGCAGCCTCTGAGTTCTCAAACAAGGACTGTGTTTGTGCAGAGCTCAGAGAGGTGGAAAGAGTTAAGTCAGTAAACTGAATAGGCCACATAGATCTTTGCAAGTTCCAAAAAAACTCCAAACATGCAAGATGCTTTGCTTTAAAAAAAACAAAAACAAAAAAAAACAGGCTGAAAGCATCTCTAAAAACAATATAACTTTGAAAATGATTTAGCAGTTCAAATCTGCAAGAGTGAGGCCAGTGTGATTCTTTGAAAAAAGTCTCTGTCTCTAGCAGTACATTATCATGGTCTACTATCAGCTAAGAACTTTGTGTCTGAGAGTTCTCACCCTGGCGCTGTCACTGACTGCCTGGGTGACCTCAAGCAAGTCATTTAGCCCCGATTTCCTGCTCTCTGAAAGAACACTGCCTGTGAATCCAGATTCACCCTCATTGTCACTGTTGAACGGACAGAAAGGAATTGTCCACGCAAATATGCACACAGCAGCTTCAGACCAGTGTTAAAAAACACGGGACAGCGTATATCTTTGTTTAAAATTTTCCCCCAAATCCGTAAGATTAGGAGTTTTTCACTTGCCCTGCTGTTGAAATCTGAAACCCTTGTAGAGGTGGCCAGGTTTCCTCTGGAGACTTAAAAGAAGCCACCCAGAGCTGTGAACGTCAGGGCAGAATCCTCACATTTGAACTGGACGGGGAAGACCAGAGGTCAACTTTTGTGTTCCTGAAAGCTAATTAAATAATTTCTGACAGCTGGTAGATTCAGACCTCAGGACAGAGTTTACCTCCTCTTGTCTAATGATATTTTTTGTCCCCTGTGACATTTATCAGAATGTGTGCACTCGATGACTCTCGCACCCAGAGGTCCTACGTTTGTTTTTATATCCCGTCTCACAAAGGGGCCTGACAATACAGAATGCTTAAAGGTTGTCATCCAAGTCAGAAGCGGAACAGTTGCAACAACTGCAGTTTTCATGCTGAATCAGAGAAAAGCAGACATTTTCAGCTGGGGAAAAATAGAAGAGAAATAACTATCTTTATGCACATCTCTGTGTGTGTGTGTGTGTGTGTGTGTACATGTACCTACTGAGGCCTGATGAAAATCAGACAACACAATTGTACTTTGTTAGTAATTCTTTCCCTTTGATTGGTTTTTAATAAACTATTTTGGTGGATGCTATCGACATGCTTTTGTTGCCTGTCTTTACCAATAAGACAGGAATGGTTTGAATGTTTAAAAAAGAAACCCACAACAGAGAAAGAGGAATGTGGAGGATGTTTCTGCTTCAGCCTTAAACACACAAATCGAGTCAGAACAACCTAAGAGGTGTCTGTTTCATCCTTTCTCTTTACAGAGAAGGTGAGCAAAGAGCACATTCACACGAAAGAAAACACCATCCGGACGACCACCAGGTAGGCCACTGTGGAGTCCCCTCGAAACACTCCCTCTGGGGGCCTTGAGGCCCACGTCACAGTTTGAGCAACATTCCTCAAACCGTTCTCTCCCGCTGGGTTCAAAAGTCACCCTTTTTTCATCATTTTGTGTTTGAGCTTTGGTTGGTGGAAACAACCCAAAACGCAAAGGACACCAAGGGGGAAGGCCATTCACAGTTATTAAACATCTAAATGTGTCACTTTGCTGGAGAGTTTTCCTTATGCTATTATTTTTTATCCCTTACAATGATTGTGTGAAGTAGATAATATTATCCTCTTGGCAGAAGTTTCCTGACCGGAGAGTTGAAGTGGGTGGCTCTATTTGGGAGCTGGATCTGTATCTCAGGAAAGCCTCAGTCGGTGGGTAGACCGAGGTTGAGCTGTGTTCCTAAGTAGCTTTGCAGCTGTGGGCTGATAACTTGTCACCAGGGACACCCCAGCTTTTAACTCACTGCATTGTTAGGAGGGCAAAAATGTAAAAAGCAGAAGAAAGACCATGCTTTCAGAAATTGCAGGAAAACTGACATCACTAACAACTGTAGCTTAAGGAAGCTTTCCATTTGCCAAAGGCAGTTTAAGAGAAGGTCAGCCAGGGTGGGCTGCCCATCAGTCTGCCGCCTGAAAGGAAAAGGACGGGTCAGTACTGCCACCCATCCTGAGGCTCATAACCACCCAGACCTGAACTGTTGCAGGCAGGTGCCAACAAGTGCAGACCCACCTCCGTGGAAAGGGAGCTCAGGGGAGAGGCAGTCTCCCCCTTGGCAGGCTTTAAGTCAAGGAACTTTAGCAAACTTAGATTCTTCCTCCTGGGAGCCGTTGCTTGGTTTTATTATTTAATTCTTGCGACAGAAGATCAACAGTGTTTTTCCTTTGGATGTGATATGAGTCGACCTCGGACCATCACCAGGCACATGAACGGTGTTCATTTGAACACCGTTAACGCGAGTCTTTGCTTCTTTTTAACTCTGTGAATCGGCATTTGGGACTATCAAATATTAAACAGTAATTAAAACAGAGTCACACAGGGTTCATATAGTATTAGGGACAGAACCTGACTCTAACCCAAGCATGGTGTTAGGCTTGCCTCCGTGTATAAGTACGCAGATGGGGAATGAGTCTTTCCATCTGGTCTGTGCGTTGTGTTGGGAAATGGGTCTGGGGGATGGAGAGGGGACTTTGTTCAGTTGGATGCCCAAATAGGAGATGTGAGCTACTATAGATTCCAGCCTGCCTTCTCCATGTAATCCTAAGGCTATTTTTTTTTTTTTTTGGTATCTATGCTTATGTTCGTGAGTCTAAACACATGAAATGGGCCAGATTGGTAGACATCGAAAGACGGCAGATTAAAAATAAGAGGTGTCCATTTTAAGTTGCTTCCCTAGGCTTCCTGAAGTGTCACAGGTCAGGTTCCCTAGAAGCAGAGCCCGAGACAGGGATCCCTGTGCAGGTGTGTTATGGAGGGCGTTCTCTCAGAGGGACCTGCAGGGATGGGATGGGGCTGGAGAGGGAAGGGGAGCTGAGCAAGGATTCTAGGGCCGGTTGTCTCCCGCAGAGAATTCTGGAGCATAAATTGCACCACAGAGTAAATCCTGCCTTGAGGTAAGGGGGCCAGCTCTTGGTCCCCCCTCATTATCCACTAACTTCATCAGGGGATGTGTAGCCCGCCAGGTGAGGGGGGCTCCAACGGTGAGGGCAGTTCTCACTACGAGCAGCCGGCACCCCTGGGGATGCGGGGTGAGTGCACCAGTGCAGTAAAGGGGATCTGGGCAGGACCCCAGCCCCATCTCCTATGGAGGCTTTCTGCCGGTTCTTTAAGATTACATGATAATATTTACCTAGGAGAAAGGTATGCTGCGAGACCCTGTTATTATCCTTTTCAGGTGTTCTCTGGGACGAGGCAAGAGGAGGTTTGAACTAGCCCCAAACAAGTGAAATGTACAATACCTCCTAGCCTCGGTTGCCTTGGCTGGAGCTGAAGCATAATTACAGGATAGAAGAGAGGGTTTTTTTTTAGCCATTTGGCAAAAAACGAAGCAATCCTTAAATTCTCCTGTTGCTGGGAGATTATGCGTAAGAAGAGATCCAAATCAGATCTTTTGCCCAATGCAGAACAAGAGGTGCTTCCTATGAGCTCCCCCACCCCTACAATGTGGTGTGCAGAAATCAGTGTTATAGGTTTCTCGGTTTATTGTTCTTCTACAAAATCCTTGGTGTGTTTTTATTTTTCCTTTGAGTAGGCAACTTGCCCAATTAGCCTCCCCTCAAAGAGATCTCTTTTTACCTTCTCACCTCATTACTTCAGGTGGAATAGAATCAAGCTGCCTTGTGCCAAGAAACCCTCTTTAACCTGAGTTAACCGATAGCAGAAATAAGGGGAAAAAACGCCAACTCTCTTCTTTTTTGATTCCCGTTTTGGAAGAAACTCTTATTTTTGGAAGAGGTCTGCACAAGGTCAGCTAATGGGGTTATGTTTTAAGGTATGATCTGTGATACTTTCCAGAAAGATTTACATCGAGCCTCCAACTTCCCATACCTGCAGATTTTTTAAGTACTTAGTGGGATGTTTGGTTAGTTATCAGATCTCCCACATTTCATTTCCTGGAAGAAGCTGACTGTCCAGAGTGAAGGCTCATCATGGGAATCAAAGTTCGGAATTGTCCATGTTTCAGAGTTGCTGGGCACATTTAAGATAGTTGACTTGTGAAGGGCAGCCTTGGATGCCGGCCTCAGCGCAGTATTGAGATCAGGCACTTCCAAATGCTGATAGGTGCCTGAGCCCTTCCACTCAGTGAGATCTGCCTCTGGGATCTGGAGATCCAGGGGAACCAGAGGAGAAAAGAGATGTGCAATGCTGAAAAAAGAAACTGATTCTCTCCAATTCTCTCTCTGTCCTTTATCAACCCACAACTTTCCCCACTGTTGTTAATCATTATTAATCTTGACTCTCATGCCAAACACAAGAATGAAGGAAAAGTGTAGCAACCCAAGTGTGAAACACTCTGTCTCTGGCAGTTCCAATGTGTGCTTACCAATGAGATACGGGGGTGCTGGTTTCCATGCCCGGGCACCAAGGCAACAGGAAGCCCATGGATGTGCGTACAGGTAACTCCCCATCCCATAAGGGCTGATGACTGCACCTCTGTCCTCATCCAGTCCTCCCTCGTCACAGCTGTCCATTGGCCATTCTGCTGTTTGTTAATTCCTCGATTATAAGTTGGGGAGACATGGAAAGAGAAAATGATGTTGGACAGCATTCCTTGTTAGCCATTTTTATTTTTTTTTTTTTTGTGGTACGCGGGCCTCTCACTGCTGTGGCCTCTCCCGTTGCGGAGCACAGGCTCCGGACGCGCAGGCTCAGCGGCCATGGCTCACGGGCCCAGCCGCTCCGCGGCATGTGGGATCTTCCCGGGCCAGGGCACAAACCCGTGTCCCCTGCATCGGCAGGCGGACTCTCAACCACTGCGCCACCAGGGAAGCCCCGTTAGCCATTTTTTAAAAGAAGTTCTAGGTAAAGCTAAGGGTTGAAACTAATAACTAGCAAGTTTCTGGATCATTGGCTCTTGACCTCATTTTTCAAAAACTCTTACAATGGAAAATTTCAAACAGATACAAGAACAGAGAATGTACCCATGATCAAGTTTAAATAATTATCGATTCATGTTTCATCCATCCCTTCCTTTTGTTCTTCTTCCCCGTAGATTATTTTGAAGCAAATCCTAGACATCATTGGAAGAACTGGTTTGAGAACGCCGTTTTAAAAAATTATCCTAAGAGCTTAGACTCAGCTGCTTCAGTTAGGATCATCTTCCCAAAAGTAAAGGAGAAAACCATCCACCAGGGTATCCCATGTGGCCAGGCAGAGAAATCAGTCTGCTTAGCAGCCGGGATGATTGGGTCCCATGGTCCTGCTCACCAGTGCCTTGACCTTTCCCTTCCTTCCACCCTTGTCTGTGCCCTCCTAGGAGCACCTCCATTGAATCAGTCCTTCAGATGGAGCTTCACTGTAAATGCTAAACAGCAGTTCGTCTGCCTGTTTAACCTTAGAGTCTAGAAAATTCAACCTAAGTGTAAAGAAGTCTGTGCGTCCCCTTTGAGATAGCCGGTGGCATTCTTAATGCCATTCTACCTGACAAATGAGATGGGGAGAAGGTCCGCCCAGTCCCATGAGAACAGAAGGACTGAATGCTTAAGAGACTAATGCAATCTTGATTTTTCGATTTCCTTTCCCAGCACAAGCCTAGGTTCTGCTGGGAGCAGATAACCAGCTAATATGATCACTTGTAGATGAAAATATATGAGGCATGATATCATAACCAGATCCCAAAGTTTAATGGAATAAAAAGAAGATCTACGTCTTCTGACATGGACCATCACCCAACCAGATGCTGGATAAGATCGAAATAGGAAAATGGAACCCTAGAGTAAGAATCAGATAGCTCCTGGCAGGTGAATTGGACATGCTCGATGTTGTGTAACACCATGAACTTCAAACAATGGCTGCCAAGAACCCTCTCTTGGTTATTTGTTCTCTCTCTTCGCCATTAATAATTCAGCGTCCATGGGGCTATAAGATTGCAGGCCTATAAGAAAAACTTCTCACACCTGGCTTGCTCTATTCCAAAAGCAAGGAAGTATTTACCTGAATTGGTTTTTTTCTCCATTACTAGACAAAAAGCAGAAGTGGGAAAATCAGAAAGGTAGAGTCCTACCATGCTGTGCTGACCAACATTTAATTTGCCCAATTTTCAGAATTTGAAATGTGGGCTATTTTTCTGTGATTTAGATAATGGCACTTACAGAGTTTACTAAAAGACATACGTACTTGGAAGTGTCCAATACAGAATTTTCAGGTGTGATTGTTTGGGTGCCTGTCCTTAAATATTTATGAGTCAGTAATAGAAATTGCACAAATTTGTACGAGCGTGATGTGCCGCTTCAATCTGTGCAATTTCCCCTTTCATTTTTTAGAAGGCATAAGA